CAAAAGGACTCTTGAATTCAACTTTTTTTTGCAGACAGTATGGTCTGATGACCAGTTTTTCACTTTTCAATGGAAAGCTTGCATGTAGTTTTAGTCTCATTTGGCATATATTTGAACCACTTACTATCCTAAAGAAGAAAATTATGGTAGCATATGAAATGAATAGGGTGTACTGATCATTGTAAAGTGTTTTTTTTACAGATTTAGTGAAATATTTGTGACGGACTACAGATTTTATGTACAAAGCTCTTCACATTTCACATACATCAAACAGGCCGTTTAACCAGCGACATAAATACAAATATTCTGCACATTTTTTCTGTGATAATCTACTTTTCTCTAGATTCCAAGTTCACAAATGGTTAATTAAATTTGATTTAAGCATAGAAACACAAATATCAGGAACATAAAAAGCTGTCAGATAGAAAGTCAGCATGGCTCTTAAGCATAAAATGGAAACTGCTTTAAAATGCTTATTTTAGCCGTATAATGCCAAAATGGGACATTTTAACAGAATTTCTGTCAAACAAAGATGTAAATCCTTTACTTTTATTGAGTTTGACAAATTGAAACCAGAAAACCATTCAGGAAAGTTGCCAAAGTACAGAATCTACATTTACGGAATTCATCTCTTAAGCCCGAGAACACAGTTATTTCGTAGTGCATTTCTTTTAGACAATAAATTCAAATTAAAAAAATCGCACCTGCTCTATCTCAAAAAGATTTTTACAGTGTAGTGTACTACTATTGATACAAATAATATCAAAATTATAGAAACTTCTACCAGCTCTAACTCAAAATATTGACAATTCTGTGTTAAGGGGGGCTAAAATTCAGTTTGACAGCTTCCGACATTCTAATTTTTGACCTTTTTTAACTGGACCAAATCACTACTAAACATAAAGATTCAGCACCCAAATTTTTTTAACATGTAATTTCATCCCCTTACTTAATATTTCATGCATAAAATATCAAGAAATAAATTGGGAAAGTGTATCAAAAAAAAAGGCAAGTTATACACTGTTCACACTAGGGACTATATTTGTAGACAACGAAAACCAAAGGACGATAACTGTGTCCTTGGACCTAATAGGATAGAAAGACTTGACCAATTTTAATAAAACTTTGCATGACCTAAGCTTAGGCAATTTTAAGATAGTTGGCCAAGTTTCATGGACATAGGATATATATTATAGAAACTAGGGCCATTTTAATATTGAAATTTGGATGTTTATTTTTGATGTTTAAATCAAATATTTTCAACTGTCAAGATTTTGGCCTAAAAAATTTAAATATTGCAAAAATTTGCTTTTTAAATACTCTTGAATTTAATATAATAAGTATTAAAAGCAACGGAACACTCATTTGATTTATCAGATTTATTACAGTTATTCAAAAGTCAAATTTATATGAGCCTGTGCCTGAAAATAGAGATTTTCGAATTAAGGGAAGCCTTACATAAACATGCATTTTTTTCAACCAATTTGAAGTTTTTGAAGGTTTTTAACCATACATTATTCTTCCATATATATTAAATGTACTTTAAATGTAAAGAAAAGTTACAAAAAGCATACTACATGAGTATGAAATGGTCTTAGGCCATGTAAGACTGAGAATTATTTAGAGTCGATTTAGGCCGTAGCCCATATTTACATATAAAAATGCACACAGAGGCTATAAGGAAGTGAAATTTGTTACTTTTTGCTCATTTCTATGCTAAGATGTCATGATACAAGAAGTCTAATTGCAAAAGGACTCTTGAATTCAACTTTTTTTTGCAGACAGTATGGTCTGATGACCAGTTTTTCACTTTTCAATGGAAAGCTTGCATGTAGTTTTAGTCTCATTTGGCATATATTTGAACCACTTACTATCCTAAAGAAGAAAATTATGGTAGCATATGAAATGAATAGGGTGTACTGATCATTGTAAAGTGTTTTTTTTACAGATTTAGTGAAATATTTGTGACGGACTACAGATTTTATGTACAAAGCTCTTCACATTTCACATACATCAAACAGGCCGTTTAACCAGCGACATAAATACAAATATTCTGCACATTTTTTCTGTGATAATCTACTTTTCTCTAGATTCCAAGTTCACAAATGGTTAATTAAATTTGATTTAAGCATAGAAACACAAATATCAGGAACATAAAAAGCTGTCAGATAGAAAGTCAGCATGGCTCTTAAGCATAAAATGGAAACTGCTTTAAAATGCTTATTTTAGCCGTATAATGCCAAAATGGGACATTTTAACAGAATTTCTGTCAAACAAAGATGTAAATCCTTTACTTTTATTGAGTTTGACAAATTGAAACCAGAAAACCATTCAGGAAAGTTGCCAAAGTACAGAATCTACATTTACGGAATTCATCTCTTAAGCCCGAGAACACAGTTATTTCGTAGTGCATTTCTTTTAGACAATAAATTCAAATTAAAAAAATCGCACCTGCTCTATCTCAAAAAGATTTTTACAGTGTAGTGTACTACTATTGATACAAATAATATCAAAATTATAGAAACTTCTACCAGCTCTAACTCAAAATATTGACAATTCTGTGTTAAGGGGGGCTAAAATTCAGTTTGACAGCTTCCGACATTCTAATTTTTGACCTTTTTTAACTGGACCAAATCACTACTTAACATAAAGATTCAGCACCCAAATTTTTTTAACATGTAATTTCATCCCCTTACTTAATATTTCATGCATAAAATATCAAGAAATAAATTGGGAAAGTGTATCAAAAAAAAAGGCAAGTTATACACTGTTCACACTAGGGACTATATTTGTAGACAACGAAAACCAAAGGACGATAACTGTGTCCTTGGACCTAATAGGATAGAAAGACTTGACCAATTTTAATAAAACTTTGCATGACCTAAGCTTAGGCAATTTTAAGATAGTTGGCCAAGTTTCATGGACATAGGATATATATTATAGAAACTAGGGCCATTTTAATATTGAAATTTGGATGTTTATTTTTGATGTTTAAATCAAATATTTTCAACTGTCAAGATTTTGGCCTAAAAAATTTAAATATTGCAAAAATTTGCTTTTTAAATACTCTTGAATTTAATATAATAAGTATTAAAAGCAACGGAACACTCATTTGATTTATCAGATTTATTACAGTTATTCAAAAGTCAAATTTATATGAGCCTGTGCCTGAAAATAGAGATTTTCGAATTAAGGGAAGCCTTACATAAACATGCATTTTTTTCAACCAATTTGAAGTTTTTGAAGGTTTTTAACCATACATTATTCTTCCATATATATTAAATGTACTTTAAATGTAAAGAAAAGTTACAAAAAGCATACTACATGAGTATGAAATGGTCTTAGGCCATGTAAGACTGAGAATTATTTAGAGTCGATTTAGGCCGTAGCCCATATTTACATATAAAAATGCACACAGAGGCTATAAGGAAGTGAAATTTGTTACTTTTTGCTCATTTCTATGCTAAGATGTCATGATACAAGAAGTCTAATTGCAAAAGGACTCTTGAATTCAACTTTTTTTTGCAGACAGTATGGTCTGATGACCAGTTTTTCACTTTTCAATGGAAAGCTTGCATGTAGTTTTAGTCTCATTTGGCATATATTTGAACCACTTACTATCCTAAAGAAGAAAATTATGGTAGCATATGAAATGAATAGGGTGTACTGATCATTGTAAAGTGTTTTTTTTACAGATTTAGTGAAATATTTGTGACGGACTACAGATTTTATGTACAAAGCTCTTCACATTTCACATACATCAAACAGGCCGTTTAACCAGCGACATAAATACAAATATTCTGCACATTTTTTCTGTGATAATCTACTTTTCTCTAGATTCCAAGTTCACAAATGGTTAATTAAATTTGATTTAAGCATAGAAACACAAATATCAGGAACATAAAAAGCTGTCAGATAGAAAGTCAGCATGGCTCTTAAGCATAAAATGGAAACTGCTTTAAAATGCTTATTTTAGCCGTATAATGCCAAAATGGGACATTTTAACAGAATTTCTGTCAAACAAAGATGTAAATCCTTTACTTTTATTGAGTTTGACAAATTGAAACCAGAAAACCATTCAGGAAAGTTGCCAAAGTACAGAATCTACATTTACGGAATTCATCTCTTAAGCCCGAGAACACAGTTATTTCGTAGTGCATTTCTTTTAGACAATAAATTCAAATTAAAAAAATCGCACCTGCTCTATCTCAAAAAGATTTTTACAGTGTAGTGTACTACTATTGATACAAATAATATCAAAATTATAGAAACTTCTACCAGCTCTAACTCAAAATATTGACAATTCTGTGTTAAGGGGGGCTAAAATTCAGTTTGACAGCTTCCGACATTCTAATTTTTGACCTTTTTTAACTGGACCAAATCACTACTTAACATAAAGATTCAGCACCCAAATTTTTTTAACATGTAATTTCATCCCCTTACTTAATATTTCATGCATAAAATATCAAGAAATAAATTGGGAAAGTGTATCAAAAAAAAAGGCAAGTTATACACTGTTCACACTAGGGACTATATTTGTAGACAACGAAAACCAAAGGACGATAACTGTGTCCTTGGACCAACAATCAATATACTATCAATATTATTACATATCCTCCTTTTTAGGCCGAACAAATTACTATTCATAATTTCTGTATAACTTTAACACTTAAAAATTTAAATACTCTAAATCAATATGAGTTAACTGTCAATCTGTAAAAACGAAACTATGCACTATGCACTATGGATTTGAATCCCTACATATAGTCAGATGGGAGTCAGAGGTTTCTAGCACTCTACTCACTGTTGGGTTTATCTTTACCATTAAGCAATACACATTGATATTCTTTAATCAGACGCATAGCTGGCTTAGTACCTCGGCCTGATCTTCTTCGAACTTTACTTGATTTTTACTGGTGGTATCCCTGTGATTTGGTAACTTCACTTTAAAATCGGAATAGCTGTTGATACAATATTATATATTATAGTTCTTGAATTACCTGCTGGACATTTGCAATAAAGGCCATCACCTGTCTTGTCACAGATACACGTTCCATTATGCAAACATGGACAATTATCTTTGCACCATGAACCTGGTAAAATATGTAAGTAAGGTTAGGTTAATAAATTATAAAACTTCTTATATACTGGTTACAAATATCAAATAAGTTTCATTTTTTTAGAAACCTTATGACCAGATCATTTTTACTGCATAACTAGACATAACAATTTTCTTAATGCATTAAAACGATCCACTCACATTATATGTGATTTTAGTCAAAGGGATGATCAGAGGGTTCGTTAAAATAATATCGCTTATAAGAACATTATCAAAAGGTAGCATAAGGGCCAATTTCCACTGATTTTTTTGTTTGTTTCACTTTCAGGCTGTAAATCTGAATGTTGTCCAAAAATAAATACATGTATAATATAACTTTGCTCATATCCATGAAATTAAAGTTATTCAGTTCTAATCATCGTTAATTGAAAGAGTGATAAACTAATATTGTAAATTTTTACATGTTTTTGCAAAATTTTGAACTGAAGGATACCCTTAACCAACATTAAATGATTTGCATCATTGATGAACTTCCAATAGAACTTTGCTTTTGGTTACGAATTTCCTTCTAATGCATTTTTACTGATTACTCTAAAATGACCAAAATCACCAAAATTTCAGTTTTTAGACTCCTTTGGATTTTTAGATTTGATAAAATTTTCAGAAATATTTATTCCTGTTTTAAATCAATATTTGTTTCGTTCTCTAAAACTTATAGTTCATAAAGATGTGTTGATATCTACCGTTCTTCGTAACATTTCAAAGTCTTACTTGCGTTCCTTATTTTCGAGTAAAAACAATTCTCGTGATATGGCCTATTTTCTTAGCAGGTACTTTTTTTTCAAATTCGCGCAACCGGATTTATGACGTCAGTGGATTTTTCGCAAATGTGACTACATCTAAAGCGACGTCGTCATCCTATCAATATATAATAATATACATTTATTTCCCGTGCCGGAGGGAGATATGAAGATTTGTTCAACCAAGAATATTCATATTTCACGAGGGCTCTGCCCGAGGGAAATATGATTTTTCGAGGGTGAATCTTCATATCTCCCGAGGCAAAGGGAAATGAATGTTTTATTCCACTGCCTATGCTTTGTTTACTATCAATTATTATAATATACATTAAATATTATTTTGCATACATTTTTTTCATTATCCGCTTGTTTTTGTAAGTCAAACTAAACACGACATACCCATTGATAAACAGTGAGGATCAAAATTTAATATTAGTCTTTTTGTTTTATCGTCCGAAATAAATTTGAACATGATAATGATTTTTGCTATCGCTATTTTAAGAAGAATAAGAAGTTCAAAACGTTATGTACATTAACCGCGCGTAACGTCGCACGAAGTAATCCCGACATTTCAGATGGGAATATGATCCTCAGAATGGAATATGAAGATTTGTTCAATGACACGTGGGATAGTCTCAACCAATCAAATATTGATTAAACTATCAATATGTTTAAACAGTGGAATAATAGCTATTAGTATACCGTAGTTTGTATTTTCTTTGTAACTGAATTATAGACGACTAAATTTACTTATTTTACAAAATTGTCTCAAAAACTATTTAATGGGTATTGACTATTTACTGAAGCAAAGATTTTCCGGTTAACTGTTTCAAAAACTTTTTACTGGGTATGAACTATTTATTAGAAACAAACTTTTAATCGAGTGAGCTTCATATTGTGTCGAGCAATATGTGTCGAGCGTATTTTGCATGATAGAAACAAGTGTTTTCATTGTTTCACCAGCAAACCAGAAGTTCGGGTCAAACTTACCAACGTCGGTTCATTCATTATGACGCCGGTGATATGTCTGGGTCAAAGTTATTATAGCCAGGTCAGCGTATTTGACATCACAAAGCCGTAATATGCAATTTTATTAATAGCTGAGCTGTGATACAGATAGTGGGATGACCGATAAGGCTACGTAACTACCTTTGGTAAAGCGGTACATTTAAATATATTACATATGGTGTAGTATTCTCCTGTTTTCATTGGATATTACGATCACGTGTTTGAAAGGTTATTTTATGTATTCGAAGCCTTGTTTCTATTTTTAAGTATACTATTGACGCTATGTTTCTATTTATATGTATATTGACGGTCAATATAATAAGTAATCTTGCTAAATTTAGATTAATGACGTCGCTCCTATAAAGAGTCATCCAATTGTTTCGTTCTCTGACATTTTTGTAGATCTTTTATTGCTGTTTCTTTTCTGTTTACAGTTTCTACTTATCTATTCTAGTTTTCAACATAATAGTGAAAACTATACATTTAAGAGCAATAACTCCTATAAGGAGTCATCTGATACTTTTGGGGAAATAGGAAGAAGTAGATCTTGACAATCTGAGCATTTTTGGCCTGTCAGATTTTTGTATGTCTTGATATGATGATCATTTTTACAGTTTACAGTTCATACCTATCAACGTTTTTGAGATAATGGCAATAAATCTTATAACTGGAGTGACAATATAGCCACTTGTAGATCCCATTTTGCTGATCGTTTTTGCACTCTTAATGTTCATCTAACTCCTAAAGCTTTTGACAAAAAAGCCAAAAAATGGATAAAAACTATCATTCAGGGGAAATAATTTTTTAAGGCGTCTGTTGACAGTTTCGGTCATGATACCTGATTTGTAGATCTTATTGTGCTGAACAGTTTTACTTTTTTACTGTTTTTAACTACTAGTATCTAAAATTTCGCAGGAGATAGACAACCTTCTGGTCAATTCTACCTTATGTCAGATTTGTTTTGACTGCTTTTGCTTTAAGATATAAGCCAAAAACTTGAAATTGACATTTCAGGGTCAATAATTCCAAAATTGATTGTCCAATTTTTCTGAAAATTTCGCAGGTGATAGACCTTGATCTGCTGATCATTCTTACCCCAAGTTTGATTTTCTCTTACTGTTTACGCTTTAAGATACAAGCCAAAAACTGTATGTTATCCCTATGTTCTATTCTAGCAACAGCGGACATGCTTGTTCATGGATCAAATCCCTGAATACAATTGTTAAACCATTTCCCAAAGGAACATTAAGATAAATTTTGGTAACATTAGTTTCAGAGGAGAAGATTTTGTTAAAGTTTACAACGACGGACGGTCGAAAGACGACAGACGACGGACGACGACGACGGACACCAATCGATGGGAAAAACTCATTTGGCCTTTTATTGCAAAAACAAAACAGGAATTGTATAATTGTTTCTAATAACTCACATGTCTGTTTCCTCGGTGCATCACCGTTGTTGCACTGTTGGCCAATGTCACAAAAGCAGGAATTTGGCAAAAGCTGTCCATTACAGTCACGACAAAAATGGTGTGCTAAAATATGAATATGTAGCAAGTAGTTTATTAAAAAAGGTTTATTTCTATCATATATATATCTGTATTTTTATACGATACCTATCGCTCATCATAAGATGTCAAACGAAACTTGTGTTTATATAATCTATTTCAACAAGTAGTTATCATCGCATTTCAGATAAAAATGCATGATAGTACAATAAAACTCCTTTGTATAGTTATTTGCAAACAGCCAACAAGATGTTTGTATGATATGTTATTATTGTCTTTGGTTATTTTCAGGATTGTCAAAAGTCATTGAACAAATCGTAGTTGCATTGAAATTCGTACACGAAGTTTTTTTTTTTAATTTGTCCTATTTTTGACTAGGCCAAAATATAATTCAAAGTTATCATCAAAGGACAGTCAATGATAACTATAGTTTAAAATCAGCTTTAGAAAAATGATAATGTCGTTGGGTGTCACTTTGACGCCAAGAAGTGGCAAAAAAATTCAAAATACAGATAAGGTTTTGCTTGTATATTTTTCTATTTGTGTGATATGACTAATCAGGTAGTATACTGGGTTGCATTCAATATCGTTGTTGCTCTGTAGGACTACGTAGATTTTGACTACTGAAAGTATAGCTAGCCTAACTTCTAAATAGATCTAGATAGCCCCAAAAAAATCATGCTATTAAGAGAATCCAAAATGGCATCGGAAAGGTTATTACTCATGACGTCATTCTGATAGGCTAGCTACGTATAGAATATCGTTCAACATAGATAGATATCTAATGCCTAGGTCACACATTCACGGATTTAACGCCGGATTAGCTACGGATACGATCCGGCATCATAAACGTAGTAGTACTATCTTGTATATCCGTGACAATTTTGTAACATGCGCAAAATTTGACCACGGATCAAACAACCGTAGTATATCCTTACTAAACCGTATTAGAACGTACTGATCCGTTTTAGTTCCTATTTAAACCGTACTAATCCGTACTTATTCGTAGGCCCGAAGGATTTCTACGGTTAGTTCCGGAAAACTACGTACTGGTACGGTTACACCACGTATTTGTTAAGGATACAATACGGTGTGTTAAGAATTTGTCACGGAACGGCACGATCTCATTACGTTGCATTACGGATAGCTAGGGATCAGCCAGGGTTCTCAAAAGTCTTTTACGGTTTACTACGTTACACCACGACAAAAAAAATACGGAACATTACGGTCCACGACAAACTGACATCAGGCTTCTGTATAAATACTCCCTACTTATAGGGCCCAACGTAGTCTGTATCTTGCCGTAGAGGTATACATAACATTATTCAATATGACCAATCAACAACTGATGCTTGCAATTAATTGGCTGGGATTGGTTATTGATATGGCACAAAATGCCAGGGCAGTGGTCGAGCTACTTGATGACAGACGCAGAGGTGACCGGAGGTAGAGGAGATGGTGGACTAGGGACTGGCTTCTCCAAAGACATATCCATGGCCAGTATGAGGCCCTCCTGGCTTGTAAGAATAGATACCAAAATATGTTTCAAGAACTGATACATGTCGTTGGTCCGAGGATTACGAAGAACACCATCTGGTACAAACAGGCAATCGATCCTTGATTGAGGCAGCTACCGGACACTGATGTATGGTTTCCGGGTTGCGCACAATACCATCTGTGGTATTGTTCGGGACGTCTGCAAGGCCATAGTTTCAGTGTATGCTGATGATGTCATCTTCATTTTTTTGTAGCAACAAACAAAAGAGCTATGTCAATTGGACATGCTTTGATACTATATCTGCCCTTGAATTTTTACTTGATAACATTTTTGTTCGCTTTGGAGATTCCGTATATCGTCAAGTTATCGGAATTCCAATGGGGACTAACTGTGCACCACTTATTGCGGACCTGTTTTTGTATTATTATGAGTTACAATTTATGACTAAAATCAGCAAAGACCCATCGAAACAACATCTGATACAAACATTTAACAATACTTTTAGATATTTGGATGTTATATTGTCTCTCAATAATGCCAACTTCAGTATGTATACTTAAGAAATTTATCCTGTTGAACTTACTTTAAATAAAGCTAATACTAACAATGACCACTGTCCTTTCCTCGATCTTGATATCTATATCATTAACGGGAAGCTTAATACAAAAAATTATGATAAAAGAGATGATTTTTCATTTCCTATCGTTAATTATCAATTTTTAGATGGTGACGTTCCCTTGTCACCATCTTATGGTGTTTATATATCTCAACTTGTACGATTCGCTCGTGTATGTAACAACGTATTAGATTTTAGCGAGAGAAATTTATATATTACTGACAAATTATTACACCAGGGGTTTCGATATCATAAACTAGTCAAAACATTTACTAAATTTTATCATCGGTATAAGGACATCATTCGTAAATATAACTCAACATGCAGACATCTTATACGTTCGGGTATTTCACATCCAATCTTTTATGGTAATATTCTTTACAAAGCACAAAAATGTCAGTATTCACCTCAAAAGCTAACAAAACCTTTAAACAGACTTATTAAGAAGGGATATAGTTACGATACTGTTGTCAGGTCATTAAAGATTGCATATTTTGGCTTTAATATTGATTCACTTATAGGGTCTTTGCATCGGAATTAAACATATTTATTCTAAAACCAGTTGTTGGGATGACACGAGTTATGTTCTTCTCATATATTTTATGACGGTATAATACTAAACCCCTAACAGGAGGGATTATGCCTGATATTCATATGATGAAGACATAATCTTTCAATCAGTTTAATTGAGGTCTGGAGCTGGCATGTCAGTAACTGCTAGTAGTCTGTTGTTATTTATGTATTATTGTCTGTAACAAACTCCATTTATTTATTTATATATATCTATTTTACTTAGGACTATATTTTATGTTAGGGCTTATTTTCGCTAACACCGGACTATATAGTCAAGCAGACCTTTCATGTGTATCACGTGATTAGGCACCTATTGAAATTTCACAGGTAAGTTTCAAATCAGTTGACACCTGGCCATTGAGTTAAGCACACGCGTGTGCTGAGTCTAGAGTTGGTAAAAATAGCAGTTGGGTATTATAATTGTCAGTTTAGGACATGGATATCCCAAGGCTTATTATTACAACACTCAGGTAAGACATTTTTACTTATTTATATCGTTCATTGAGGTCTATTTTGCTGTCGAGATGATATTTCTTACTCGCGGTCCAGAATGTCCGAATAATTGCTATATCATGCAAATGTATAGATAAAGTAAGTAATTTTTGGGTTCAATATTTATTTTGCAGGGGTTTTTAGGCCCGGTTTTGTTGTGCGTACAGCACGTAGTAAATACCGTCGACTGGTCGGTGATATATGGTGTCGGAGATACAAATGGTATTATTAGTAATATGGTTACAACTCGATGTTTGCTGATTTCAATTACAACGCCTGGAGTCGGTGAAAGTATCCGTTATAAATATACAAAGAAGTCCGTTTAAATATATGTTAAACGAATCGAACAGTCCGTGCAGTATTATGCAGTTTCAAGTCGTCATTGCTCATTGAAGTTATCATTGCAGTAAAAGTATTTAGTGTTCTTTTCATCAATTTAGAATCAACCAAAAATGTGTGAAAATAGTTATTTTCTGTTCGTTTTATATTATAAGAAATTCAAGGGGAACAACCCAAAGTTATTCTACAGTACGTGCAACGTTCAACCTTTACCGGGAAGTGTGCAGAGTTGATGGAGGTGTGCGGACTGTAATTGTTTAGTTTCATTTTGTTTATTTCATAACATTATATTTTGTTCTGTTTTGTGTGTGTTTATTTAGTTACATTTGCATGTATTCATTTCATTATTTCATTTATGTTGAATTTACTTTACTTTTGTTTTGTTTATTAAATTTATATTTAAATTTAGTTTTGTATAACATTGGGCACTTGAAAATCCAAAGAACTTAATTCTTTACATTGTCATTTTGTTTATTTTCTTTTGTTTCCTATTCTGACATCGGACTCGGATTTCTCTTAAACTGAGTTTTACTGTGCGTACTGTTGTACGTTTGTTTTTTCTACATTGGCTAGAGGTATAGGGGAGGGTTGAGATCTCAAAAAAACAAGTTTAACCCCGCCACATTTTTGCGCCTGTCCCAAGTCAGGAGCCTCTGGCCTTTGTTAGTCTTGTATCATTTTTAATTTTAGTTTCTTGTGTATAATTTGGAGTTTAGTATGACGTCTATTATCACTGAACTAGTATACATATTTGTTTAGGGGCCAGCTGAAGGACGCCTCCAGGTGCGGGAGTTTCTCGCTGCATTGAAGACCCATTGGTGGCCTTCGGCTGTTATCTGCTCTATGGTCGGGTTGTTGTCTCTTTGACACATTCCCCATTTCCATTCTCAATTTTATTCTACTGAGCTTGAACAGTGATAGGCTATAGCTGAACAGTTTACAGCGAAATGGCAGTTACCCATACGCTGGGTGCTCTAGATTGCAAACATGTAGCCTTACGGTGCCAAAAGAACGGAGGATCCCTATACTACAACTATAAAGGATATCACTCAGTGGTGCTGATGGCCGATTACAAATTCCGATGGGTTAATATAGGTGCACAAGGTGCATGTTCTGACGCTCAGATATGGAACCAGAGTGACTTGAAGAAGGCCATTGAAAGGGGGTTAATCGGTTTGCCAACAGCAACCCCTCTTTCCGGTGACGACAAACCAATGGGCTATTATATCATCGCAGACGAGGCATTTGGTATGAAAACCTGGCTCATGAAGCCTTTCTCCAGACAGGGTCTTGCCAATGACGAGAGGATTTTCAACTACCGCTTATCGTGGGCCAGAATAGTTGTAGAAAATGCCTTTGGTGTTCTTGCAAATAGATTCAGATGTTTGCAGTCATGAACCAAAAACCAGATACAGTTCACGTCATAGTTCTGGCCTGTGTTTGCCATCACAACATCATAAGGATCAGTTATCCTGGTGATCAGAACCTTCTAATGGACAATGAAGACGACGACCACCAAGCCATTCCCGGAGCCTGGAGAGATGGTGTCAACATGGACGATCTGCAGATCCCCAGGGGTGGTAACTTAGACACCTTCGACGCAAAACAGCAGAGGTTATACCTAAAACATTACGTAAATTCTCCTATCGGGTCTGTGTCATGGCAGAATAAAATGGTATGAGGTATCGTCCTTTAGAACTGTCGAGCTTTGTTGGATATTACTAAATATTACACTGTGGACTTTGTGTTGTTCCTTATTTCTATTTACGTATGCCTTATTGCTAAAGATAAATACCTAATTGGAATATGCACAATATAACACACACACACATAGAATTTATAGCAAACAAGTACTATAATGTCAATGATTCGCAGATGACAACATTTTATTATGATCCACAACTAAATGCGAAAATACTTAATAAATAATTTTAATAAAACAAAACAAAAAAATCATCGATTAACTGCCATAAAAAAAATGATAAATCACAAGCTTAATTAGAAATGATTAACGGCTTAGAAAATGTGGCGGTTCGTACTATTCCGTATTAGACCGTTCTCATTCGTACTAACCCTTACGTATACCGTAGCAAATCGCTGTTTATCCGCAACTACGCCCTGGCACGTGTCGTTGCGTATTAAATCGTGTTATTTTCGTATTAAACCGTGTCGTATCGTAAAAATTCGTACCACTGATGTCGCCAAATGACTCCTTTCCTACATTATCCTTGATAGATACGTCAAAACCCGTAGTCACACCGTTGTGCATCCGTATCGGACTACGGAAACTGCATTATCGGGATCATCCGTGAGATTAAATCCGCAGTGGAACCGGCGAGGCGATCCGTGAATGTGTGACCTAGGCATACGACATAGCGGCTATACTAGCTGCTACGGTATTGAACGCAACCCAGGACTGAGGTATATATTTAATACCGTTCTCACGCGTCAGCTATTTTAATTGAAACTTGCATGAAAGCAAGTCAATATAAAAAACAACGAGTAATTTTCGTTATTTGATTTTAAAATGTTAAACGGTAAAATTTAACCAACAGCAGTGGTTGCCTTAGCTAAGTAGCTTTCTGTAGTAGCGAGCAATTTATATTATATCCTTTATGTTACATCTTTCATTTCCTAGTTTAGATTAGTGTTCATCATGTGGGTAAGTGGACCGCACATGTTTTCTTTGTGTGCTTAATTTTGATGACATATGGTCTAAGCAGACAAAGACACATTCTTTATGTGCCTTTCCCAAGTAAGAAGCCTGTAGTTCAGTGGTGGTCGTTGGTTCATGTCTCATATTTGTTTTTCATAAACTAGTTTGTTATAAATTAGGCCTTTAGTGTTCTCAATGGTATTGCTTCCCATTGTTCATGTCGGGTCCTATTATAGTCAACTATACGGTATGGGTTTTTCTCATTGTTGAAGGCTGTACGGTTTCATACAATTGCTTACATCCACTTGGCCATCATACCGCATCTCCTTATTGTTATAAAGAAAGAGTTTTTGAGTTCATGAAACTGTTTTATCCCCACCACATTTGCACTCGTACCAGGTCAGGTATCTGAACCATATGTTTTTTGTTTTGTTTGCCTTTGTTTGTACGCCTATTTTTTAAGAAGGGGTCGGGTGTTTGTGTATTCTGTTGCACTGTTAAATGAAAATATTGTTATTGATTCATGCTATCTGGTTTTTGTTTGTATTCTTTTAAACTCAGGGCTGGTCATTTTCTGTCATTGTGGGGATGGAAGGAACACAAATCCCCCTCCTCCAACACATTTCAATACTTTTATTCTTTACAAAAAAAATACATGCATACACGTTTTATGGCTATTATAATCATTCAATGAAAACCTTCGAGAAAACATGCAAAAACTGAAAGACATCATACCATTATTCCCTATTATTGTCATTCTTCATGTCCAAAATACAAGCAGAAGATAGTCATGACTCACATGAATAAAACATTTTACATTGAATGAAGTTTGAAGCCAAAAATTATGTCACAAGAGATTGAGATATTACAAAAGAGTAGAAAAAAAAGTGTATTTCGAGTCTAAAACTGGGCTTTATATCACATTCCTAATTCAATATTTCTCCACTTTCAGTCATAATTTGTATGTGTTCCCAATTTGAAGTTCAAAACTTTCATAGCTATAGACAATATGAAATAATATATTTTAAGTAATAGATACTATAAGACCAAGGGTAAAAAATGACATTTTTGGTCAGCAATTTCCTGCTCATCAAACATTTCTAAAGGAGAGAGAGAGAGAGCGAGAGAGAGGGGGGGGGGGGATTGTAAACCGACATGCAGAATAATGAATTTTCAAACAACTGTTTGTCTACTTACAGGCATTGGCTGGGCAACGATTCCTCACATACTGAGATCCTAAAAATGACAGTTTAAGAGATTATAGAAATTTTATTATTAAGATAATCATGTAACTTCTCCTTTGTGATATGTTGATACATTTGATTATTGAGTTTTCTTTCTACTAACATCATAATTTTGGCAAAGTGTATTACCTGGATTGGACTGGACTCCCGCATGTTCCTTTTTTTAATTAACATGCATTTATTTTTTATTTGTTTATTTGTTATCTCCTTGTTTATTACGATAATACTTTATGCATTTTTATTTAATAATAGAATTTTAATTTATATATAATCTTGTAAAGAAGTTGTATTAATTGGTGGCATTCGACCTCCAGAACAGATGTCTTATATCTATTAAGTTACAGATTGGAATGTTAGCATCAAGTCTATTCTATAAAGCAGATAGAAGGACAGATAAATTATCCTGCATTGTGTATTGTTATGTGTATACTACATTTATCACATTATTCTATTTTATTTCCGAAATTTTATATTGTGTACTTTGTTTCACATAAAGATAAAAATAAAAATAGTTTGATTCCAATTAAAGGGCCCATGTTGAGAAAAAAAATACTGTTTAATTATGGATAAAATCAACTTATTTCATGATCTTAAACCACTTCCAGACCAGTCATTAGCACTTGTGTAAAATCATTAATAAAACAGATTATATCAAAAATTAACACACAAATATTCTTAGTGGACTACATATAAACTTATCTGTTCTGTATTGATACTGTTTTCCGAGTTCAAAACATTTAATAATATATAAGTTCCAATTAATTTCAATACCTCTAGGTTTTCTAGAACAAAAAGCCAATTGAACTTGGCACTTCTAAATTGTCTGACAATGTATGCCAACACAATTGAAAGAATATGCTATGGGATTAAAATATAGACGTGTTCCCAAACTAAATACTCATGTAGTATTGATACAGTTCAAAGAATAAAGAACACATATATAAAAAAGTTTTTAAACTTTAACTTTAAAATTTGTGACTCAAAATTATTGTATATTACTTTTCTCATTATGGGCCCTTAAATGGAATTAAAATATTTTTATTTTTAGCTCACCTGGCCCGAAGGGCCAAGTGAGCTTTTCTCATCACTTGGCGTCCGTCGTCCGTCGTCCGTCGTCGGCGTTAACTTTTTACATTTAGAACTTCTTCTAGAGAACCACTGAATGGAATGAAACCAAACATGGCATGAATGTTCCTTATGAGGTGCTGACCAAGTGTTGTTACTTTGTAGCCGATCCATCATCCAAGATGGCCGCCAGCGGGGGACTTAGTTTAACATAGGACCCTATGGGAAATGCATACAAATGACTTCTTTTAGAGAACCACTGAATGGAATAAAACCAAACATGGCATGAATGTTCCTTATGAGGTGCTCACCAAGTGTTGTTACTTTGTAGCCGATCAATCATCCAAGATGGCCGCCAGCGGGGGACTTAGTTTAACATAGGACCCTATGGGAAATACATAAGAAATTTATGTATTACTGAAAAATTATTACACCAGGGTTTTCGATATCACAAACTAGTCAAAAAATTTACTAAATTTTATCATCGGTATAAGGACATCATTCGTAAATATAGCTCAACATGCAGACTTCTTATACGTTCAGGTATTTCACATCCAATTTTTTATGGAAATATTCTTTATAAAGCACAAAAATGTCAGTATTCACCTCTGAAACTAACAAAACCTTTAAATAGACTTATTAAGAAGGGATATAGTTACGATACTGTTGTCAGGTCATTAAAGATTGCATATTTTGGCGTTAATATTGATTCACTTATAGGGTCTTTGCATCGGCACTAAACACATTTATTTAAAAACCAGTTGTTGGCATGACACGGGTTATGTTCTTCTCATATATATTATGATGGTATGATACTAAACCCCTAACGGGAAGGATTGTGCCTGATATTCATATGATGAAGACATAATCTTTCAATCAGTTTAATTGAAGTCTGGAGCTGGCATGTCAGTTAACTGCTAGTAGTCTGTTGTTATTTATGTATTATTGTCATTTTGTTTATTTTCTTTGGTTACATCTTCTGACATCAGACTCGGACTTCTCTTGAACTGAATTTTAATGTGCGTATTGTTATGCGTTTACTTTTCTACATTGGCTAGAGGTATAGGGGGAGGGTTGAGATCTCATAAACATGTTTAACCCCGCCGCATTTTTGCGCCTGTCCCAAGTCAGGAGCCTCTAGCCTTTGTTAGTCTTGTATTATTTTTAATTTTAGTTTCTTGTGTACAATTTGGAGTTTAGTATGGCGTTCATTATCACTGAACTAGTATATATATTTGTTTAGGGGCCAGCTGAAGGACGCCTCCGGGTGCGGGAATTTCTCGCTGCATTGAAGACCTGTTGGTGGCCTTCTGCTGTTGTCTGTTCTGTGGTCGGGTTGTTGTCTCTTTGACACATTCCCCATTTCCATTCTCAATTTTATTTTTATAAACATATTTTATTAAATAACGGGACCATTATTAATTAAAATTTGGCCTCAATCATTATTTGGGTATCTGTTATGATTTTTATCTATCTTTACATGATTTCTAAAACCAAAGTAGAGTCAGGTGAGCGACACAGGCTCTTGAGAGCCTCTAGTTATTTTAATGTGAAACAAAGTTCACAATAATAAATTTCAGAAATAAAAAATAATATGGTGATAAATATATTATACACATAACAATGCACAATACATGATAATTTATCTGTCCTTCTATATGCTTCATACAGTAAAATTGATGCTGACATTCCAATTTGTACCTAAATAGATATAAAACATCTGTTTTAAGGTCGAATGTCATTAATTAATACAACTTCTATTGACAGGCAAGATTATAACTTAAAATGAAAATTATTGATAAAAAAAAGTATAAAGTACAGTTGTAATAAGCAAGAAGATAACATATAAACAATTGAAAATAAGTGCATGTTACAAAAAAAATATGTGAGAGTCCAATCCAGTCCAGTCCAGGCAATACACTTTGCCCATAATTTTACGGTTTTCTTTGTCGTAGGTGCAATTGAAAAAATTTGGTGATAAGCTGTGATATTGGCTTATGAAGCAAAATGTTTTTTATAGTGATGTTATGTCTTTTGATGATAAACAGAAATTAGTGTTTTATTCACAGATATTAATATGATTCGAATCTGTCCCAAAGCCTGTTATCTTATTCTAAATAGAAGTAGAAATGTTCTATACTGTATAAAATAATATACATATAAATATGTTTTATAATAGACGAATTTTCTATAATGTTTTAATGTTATAATAGTCTCTTATAATTCTGTACATAATAAGCTGGTCCTCGACTGACTACTACAAAGTGGCTCTCTATTTTATATCAATATTTTACACTTTTTGCAATGTTGCATTAAATATTATTGAGAGATGAGACTGAAATAAAATACTGAAGTGAACTCAATTGCTTTGTTCTAATGTTTTCATTGACCTCGCGAATGAGTCAAATGATTTGATTTCAAGGGCAAACGATACTGAAAAACACCTTTTTCTCCTCTGGACACAGTTAAATATGCACGCTAGAAATATACAAGGGAAAATATACCTTCATAGAGTTTTCGTAATTTCAGAGGAGAGTACTGGGATAAAACAAATTTATTATCAGGTATAAGATTACAAGAGCGCAATTATTCGTAATGCATTTTCCATAGGGTACTAGTGGTGTTCAGTATTTTATTTCTCGAAGACTACACAAACTAGGAAAAAACTGGTAGCAGTTCCTGTTACTAGAAATGCCAGTGTTGCATAAGAACCAAAAAAATGTATATGGTCATGCGGCAAAAATTGACTTAAAATGCAGTTGAAAAACATCGTCTACTTTTTTCGCTTAATGAAAAAGGCAGATTTTTAATGGCTCAGACGTGCAGAAATGTAAGATATTTTCTATACTATGTTAAATGTGAAATTGATTTTCTGGATTTTTTAAACCTATTTGGATAAGCTTTCGACTAAAAGTAATTCCAATCCTGTTCCATCCAATCAGAAGCCGTACACAATTCTATTCTGAGTACCATCTTGGGGTAAAAATGTAAACAAATAATTGCGCTCTTGTAACCATAAAAGTTCAGATATTACATTATAAAGTTACAGAGAACTTTTAAAACATAACTCTTTACTTTATTTCTTCTTTTTGTGTGGTATATTATCATAAAACACTCTACTAATAGTAGTTTTTTAATCTTTATCAAAGTAAATATCGACATTAACACTTACTGATACCGTTTCCCTTTGAAACTACAAGGAGATTGTTCAGGACAGAGTATGTGTTTGTTGCATTATCAAAATAAAAATGAAACGCATAAGAAAATATATATCGAATTTAACATAATGGTAATAATATAATTTTCTTTACAAAGCCATCAATTACAAAATAAGGTCAAAGAAGATAAGAAGATCATAAGAAGGGTCAATGTCAAATATATATGATTTATTTTTGTAAGACATGCACTTAAATAAGACGATTTGTTTTACTTTATCATGATACTCAGACGTGTTCTACACATATGTTATAGACGTTCATTGATATTGATATTTGTTTACACGCACAACCAGAAATAGATACACTTACCTGGTTCACATCTTTCTTTAAGTGGATTTGATTTGCTAGTATAGGACTCTGTTAAGATATAAATTTTTAAATATTTGTATTAGATACACCTTGAGGGCGTTAGCCGAATGGGTGTATTTAATTTACACCAAGATGTTATTGTCAATGCAGATATAGATATTAATGATTTAGGAGGGGGTCTTTCAGCAATTTGATCATAATGTTATTGAAAAGCATGATAAATGCAGGATAACGACATCTTGGTGTAAATATCCATACAAGCGCAAACTTTGTTGTTATAAATAAGGCCGCTAGTTTTCTCAGTTGAATTGTTTCACATTTTTCATGTCGGGGTCTTTTATAGCCGACTATACGGTATGGATTTTTCTCATTATTGAAGGCCGTACGATTGCCTATAATTACTTACATCCACTTCATTTGAACTTTGATACATCTCCTTATTTTTATAATGACATTGCATATAAAATTGTATATTTTTTTAAATGGAAAGATTTCACATGTTTTTAGAGAACATTATTTCAATAAAATGCAAAATATTTGGTCTCCCTGTCTCTCTTATATGATATAAACTCAGGGTGTCAGAGAAGCATGGGCTCAAATCCCTCTAAAAAAAAATAGACTACCGCAAGAGAGTAGGTTCGCGTAGGATTAAAAGTGGTCCTACTAATTTGGCATGTTTTTAATCTGACCAAAATACTTTTAATATTACATAGACATAGTTGTGATATTACTTGTTAAATAAAAGAGCCTATTTTTTCATAAACCATCATAAATCACGAAGATATAACCCCTACCGGTATTATGCATTAATTATGTTGTAAATGAAAATAACACTTTATTAATTTCCTACATCCGGAGCGTTGTTTTGCAACATTAGTTTGGTCTTAATTTTCATTATTTATAACAATTTTTGGTATTAATTTGATACAACTTTTCACCAGAGAGCAAATGAGTATCATCGGAGTCTATTATTATGTCCTCTTACAACTAAAGTTGTTTTATTAAGCATAACATTAAGTATGTAGATATAAGATGTGGTATAAGAGCCAATGAGACAACTCTCCATCCAAGTCAAAATTTATAAAAGTAAACAATTATAGGTCAAAGTACGGTCTTCAACACGGAACCTTGTCTCACACCGAACAGTAAGCTATAGAGGACCCCAAAAGTTACTAGTGTCAAACCATTCAAACGGAAAAACCAACGGTCTAATCTATATAAAAAACAAGAAACGAGAAACACTTATGAACCACATCAACAAACGACAACTACTGAACGTCAGATTCCTGACTTAGGACAGGTGCAAACAATTGCAGCGGGTTTAAACGTTTTAATGATACCAAACCTTTACCCTTATCTGAAACAATAGTGTAACATCACAACATAGAAAGACACACTATAAAATATCAACTGAAATGGCTTAACTCAATCAAAAGACATATTAACACCAGTGAACATACACTGAACAAATAAACTTCATCTATGATACAATGTAAATACAAAATAAATAAACTAAGGGAAGAATAATTAAAGTAACATGTTATACCGCTGTGAAATGTTAAATAATTTAAGAAAAACAATATGCTTGAACAAAAATATCAGCCAGTTGCAATTACTTTAAACACAGGTAAATGAAAACAATTTTGTTGTTAGGTATAAATGTACAGTTCAAAACGAGAAAGGAAATATTTTTACAAAATAAATAATTTTGATGTTCATTGTACGAAGAAGTGAAAATTTATAGTAAAACCAAACACTTATCAAAGCTGGTATATAGACCAGATATAACCCTGAATAAGTAAACATTAAATAACAAAAAAGCATTACAATTAGTATCAACAGGTCAAATAAACAAGAAAGTACGATTTGAGAGTACTCGCAGTTACTGACAGCTAGTCAAAAGCCAAAAACAATTAATAATAAAAAAATCATGCATCAGAGACTAAAATCAACTAAAACACATCCCAGGGATTTAGTATTTTAACGTCATGGATAGTCAAAGAAGACATGACTTGTGCAATGCCAAAAATAAATGTATCGACAGGCAGTAGGACAGTTAGGAGTTAACCTCTTTATAGATCAAAATTAACCTGGGTGTGTCTTTATACATCCCGTTTGAAAAGAATACAAATTTAGTTATGTTGTAATTTGCTGATGATAAAATCGATATTAGTGCCAATGTAAACTATATTCAAAGATCTAATTACAACATTGGTAAGATAACCTTTACTAATAAGTTTGTTTAAAGGTTCGATGAGTTTATACGGATCACATAGTAATTTCCGCGCTTTAAGTACAATATTACCGTAAAATTTAGGATGTGAAATACCGTTTTTAATCAGTTTTCTACAGGTACAGCCAAATTTACTAATCAAATCTTTGTATCTATGAAAGAATTTAGTAAAAGTTTTACGTAATTTATGGTAGCGAAATCCCTGACTTCATAATTTACCAGTGATGCATTGATTACGTTCGTTAAAATCTATGACATCACAACACACACGGGCATAACGAACGAGTTTGGATATATAAACACCGTATGATGGAGCCAAAGGAACATCGCCGTCTAAAAAAGGAAAATTAACAATAGGGAATGAAAAGTCGTCTCTTTTGTCGTAAATTTTATTATGGAGTTTTCCTTTTGAGATTGAAATGTCCAAATCTAGAAAAGGACAACTACTGCTGTTTATGTAAGATTTAGTTAAAGTAAGTTCTTTTGGGTAAATTTCGGTAGTATATTAAGAGAACTCTGGATTAATTTACGAATAAATATCATCCAGATAACGGAAGGTATTGTTGAATGTATCAACCAAATGTGCCTACTACTTGTCGATACACTTTATCGCCGAAACATGCATATATGTTGTCCAGGAGAAAATTTAAAGCTTCAATCATATCTTCACATTTACAGTAAGTGTTTCTAGCATACTTTCTTTTTTCGATACAGAAAAAGGCTTTAAACGAGTTACAGCAAATAAATTTGTAATGAAATTTTTAAAAGACCATTTAATTAAATTTGAAAACTTTTTCTTGATAAGATTGTGTGGAAGTGTAGTATAGAGAGTAGAAAAATCATAACTGTCAACAGAATTAAAAGGACCACCAAAAGCATGTATTTTATCTAAAACATCTAAAGAATTTTTAACACTCCAAAAATAATTAATACCATTATTTTCATAAGCTTTATTACAAAAGTTAATAACAAGTACTTTGATAGTAGCAAGGGAGGTAGTTAGAATCACTGATAGATTGGTAGTAGAACACTTACTAGATGCGGAGATGAAACGGAATTTAAATGATTTTTTGTGCAATTTAGGTAACCAGTACATAGTAGGGACTTTCAAATGTTCGGAAGAGGCTTTAAGCTGGGTAGTGGCAGTGATATGCTTGTTTACAATTCGACTCTCTGTGGAGCGTACGGACCTGAATGTAGAAGAATTTGTAATTTCGTTTTGGAGAACTTCCGTGTAGTATATGCGTCACACCGCCTCTACATTATTTGCTGCTTTGTCTGCCGGTACGAACACAAACCGCTTTGCGAGTACTTGGAGTTTATTTTTTATTCTAGAAATGGGAATATCATGGACCCTATTACTAATTTCAGAATTGTTTTCAAAATGAGATATACGAATATTAACAGTATTCATAATTTTAAACTGTCTAGAGATTTTTTATCAGATTTTTCACGTTTACACCAATTTTTACAGTAGACAGACAGAGCGTCTTTACTGACCTGACGACACTGTTTCCAATCTATTTTAGATGGAGGACGATATTTTGGTCCTTTCTCAAGAAAAGTTATGACCTCACGGTCTTCGACGATGTTGAGGTCTCCTGTAAGGACACAACCATAGGGAACATATTTAAAACTAGATGTTTCACAGTCTCAAGTGGAAGGAACATTATTTTCTATATTGACATCTGATGTAACTGACGAATAATTAAAAATCAAACTTCTGCTGGTTTTTTTATAAGAATACGAAATAATAGGTGGTTCTATATTATCAAATATGGAGGTATTTGGCTTTGGATGGTAGAGTCATTGAATATACTTAGTGCATGTCAGAAGCCTGTAATTCAGTGGTTGTCGTTTGTTGCTGTATATCAATTTATTTTTTCATTTTTTTTTGTATATGAAATAAGCTGTTAGTTTTCTCGTTTGAATTGTTTTACATTTGTCATTTCGGGGCATTTATAGCTTGCGTTGTGGTATGAGTTTTGCTCATTGTCGAAGGCCGTACGGTGACCTATTAAAGTTGCTATTTTTTAAGTCATTTTGACTCTGGTGGAGAGTTGTCTCATTTGAATTCATATCACATCTTTTTATTTTTATATCAATCCTTTTAAAAGATATCCATTGAAGAACCAAAACGCGGCCTTTTTTATATTTAATAATATTGTTAAATTCAAGGCCATAATTAGGCAAAAGTGAACCTGGTCTAAACTTTTTCTGCGCTTATTTTAGACGAAGTGTATATATATATATAGGTACCTGAAGATCTGTGGGAGCAGTGAAAGCGCTAGTAAATGTGATGATTTGAATATATATATAAAGTGTGTGTGAGTGTGCTTGCGTGCACAATAATTCCTTTACTAAATTGTCCTATTAGGATATCCCTTTTCATATAACATTGGAATGATAAGATATCAGATTACGTAGCACCTTTAAGATGCACCTCTTTCAACAATATTGCATTTACTAATATCCCATAAAATATCACAAAACCCGCTCCATATTCTGTGACAATACAAGTTTAAAGAGAAATACGCTTTACGTAATAGTATCCTTTTTAATGGTTTTTCCCTTGACGACCTTGATTTGTTTGCCTTTTTAAACATACAATACCTACGTCATATATAGATGAATTAACTTATATGTCTCTGCTGAAGAGTTGTCGCATTGGAAATCATACCACATCTTCTTATTTTTATAACACATGACTATCAAGGTAAAATATATAAATAATCTTGTTATCTTCCATGTGGATAAAACTCACAAATTTTTAGTTTTATCTACATCTACTTTCAATTCTCGAGCTTTCACATTATTTATGAAAAATAATAAATATTTTTGTATACACTATAGCGACTAAGTTATCAAAACCGTATCGGAATATCGAATAAATGTTGTTTGTTAAATTATAGATTAAGAAAAATCTGCCGATAGATCATTTATTTACTTTTTCCAAAAACATCTTACCTAAATTAACCAGATACTTTTACAAATAGACGTGTTATCATCTGTCAGCAAAAATTACAGGTTTTATCAATTAACCAAAAATGTAATACAGAAAGCAGTGAAAAGGTATCAATTTCATGGCAACAAAATGTAAGCAATAGAATATATTTACTCCTATGTGCAAAAGTAGTTGACTGGATTTGTAAGAATTTGTGAATATACTTATATTTAGTGAAAACAAGACGAATACATCAGTATTCGTTCAAGATAAAACGATTTAACTTTCATTCTGGTTAGAGGCTTATACTTTATAAAAATAAGAAGATGTGGTATGACTGCCAATGAAACAACTCTCAACCAGAGACCAAAACGACGTAGAAGTAAGCAACTATAGGTCAAAGAACGTCTTTCAACAATGAGCAAAACCCATACCGCATAGTAAGCTATAAAAGGTCCCGAAATGACCATTGTAAAACAATTCAAACGAGAAAACTAACGGTCTGATTTATGTACAAAATAATGAACGAAAAACAAATATGATACACAGCAACACACGACATCCACTGAATTACAGCCTCCTGAATTGAGACAAGCACATACCGTCGCAGAATGTGGCGGGTGTTAAACTTGTTTGTGGGCGCCCAACCCTCCCCTTAACCAAGGACAGTGGTATAACAGCACAACATAAAAATAAACTATGAAAATCAGTTGAAAAGGGCTTTACTCATCAATACGGTATAAAGCACAAAAACACTAAAGAATCATTCAGTTCACATCCATGGTGTTAAGACGTCGTGCATTCTTATATGTTATTGAGTTTGTTAGCATATGGTGTTTTTAAAAGACGCCGTGCATTTTTATATGTTATTTAGTTTGTTAGAATTAATCCATTGTTTACAGAATGATAAACCAATAGATAATAGATATTCGTTAGACAACATACCTTCCTTTTTATAGAAAAGACAATATTCTGACTGTTTATGCATGTTTACTGACTGTTTGCCATTTTGTGCTGTCGTTTAAAAAAAACACACACACATAAATTAGTTTAAATAAATGTTTGTATACATGAAAACGTCTTACGATTAAACCAGACATCTTATATCCCAAAGAGGATGGAAAACGGTAAGTTGATATAGTAACACATACTATGGAAAAAATGACTGAAGTTAAAACATTATAAAGCACGTTGGTTAATGATATATTAAAGATATTTCTAATCATATAGTTAGTTTTTCCATGTATCAGAATTCTGAAGCATTCATCCATTGTTTATTGAAAACAACAATAGATAATAGAAGTGAAAACTTAAAACTTTCAATTTTGTTTGTTTGTAAGTATTGGAAAGTGTGTCTCGAACAATTGCAAAGTTCTGACTTAAATTGTCAAGGTAACAAACTTAAATATAGAATTATATCAAATAAAAATATTTGTATATCTGTATAAATTGAAATTTAAATGATTTAACTATTTTGCTGAAGTCATGGTTGTGTTAACTTGACCAGCCAATAACAAAGTTATTGTAACAGTAAAGTCCTTTAAACATTAAACCTGTTTTTCAGTATGACAGTGACTGGTCCGGCTTATACATCTATTTAAGTTCAGAAAAAAAATTACTATACCCTTTTAGTGATCTGAAGTCTGCATAGCCAAAATTTGAAAAAAAAAATCATTCACTTTGATTATTGTTACACATACCTAAAGATATTCTCTGTCCACTGTCATTTTCTGTTGACTTACGAATGACCACACCAATTAATATGATTAAAACAACCACAATAACAGCAGCCTGTATGTTAACAAATTGTCTATTACAAAAAGGTTCTAGAGTACAAAATATTTGAATATAAAAGCAAAAAAGAAAGTTTTATAATTGATACTAGATATAATGATACTCGTTTATTTCATTATTAAAATAAATAATTATTTTAGATGATTGCAGTTACTGTTCACAGTTTAATTAAATTTGAATGAAGTTGGACCTTCGCATGACACAATCTCTGTACTTTCTATGGGTGGTCTTTTTCAGACGGACGGATATAGATAGATGCACGGATGAACACCACAAATCTTACTCTGGGTACAGCAAAAACCTGTGCACCTTGAAAAATGTAAAAGCATGGCTGGACCCAGTTTTATAAATTTATATGTATTTTTTGTTTCAAAATATTTAAAACTTTACTAAAATTTGCTATGCATTTTATCGTTTCTACAAAAGGTAAAAATAAACTGAGTTGGGAAAGATTTTTTAGAAGCTCCCGTCATATAATAAATGTAGTGAACTATATTTCTATATGTTTTTGATACATTCATTTCCGTTTTATTAATATAGAATCATCATATGGTCACCGAATTCGTTTTTAGTCTATTGAATTACAGACGCCTAACTTGGGAAAGGTACATATAGAATATGGCGGGGTTAAATATGTTTGTGAGCGCCCAATCCTGCCCTAGCCTGTGACAGTGGTGTAACAGCACAACACAAGAAGAAACTGTAACAAGAGTCCATACGCTGAAATGTCTCGCCTGTTTTATTAATCATTGAATTTACGTTGAAAGTCCGTAATATGAAGGTTTTACTACAAGTATCACATAAACCTAACATTATCAATTATCTATGAAATGTGGTCACGGTCAGATGAACCTTGCCAGACAGACATGTACACCTTACAATCATCCCATACACCAAAATATAGTGATCCTGTCACTTACAGTACTTAAGAAATAGATCAAATCACAAAATTTTAACATTGACTAAAGAACCATATAAATAAGGACAATGTCATATCAACCATGCCAGACATACAGGAACACCATACAATCATTCCATACACCAAATATAATAAACTATTGTTTATAGTATCTCATAAACTGACAAAACCACGAAAACTTAACATTGACCAATAAACCACGAAAATGAGGTCAAGGTCATATGAAACCTCCCAGACAAACATGTACACCTTACAATCATGCATACACAAAATGTAGTGGTCCAATTGCTTTTAGTATCTGAGAAATAGACCAAACCACAAAATCTTAACATTGTCCAATGAACTATGAAAATAAGGTCAAGGTTTGACGAAACCTGACAGTCGGACAATAACACCAAATATATAGTTGATTTAGTGTTTATAATATCTAAGATAGGGTCATTTTAAGCGGTGGAGGAAGCCGGAGTGCCAGAAAAGAACCACCGACCTTCGGCAGGAAAACTGACAACCCTCGTGTGCTGTACAATGAAAATAAAATGTGTAATACTGACTTCGACCTCTTTCACAGATTTTGATAAAATTTTGCATACAACTTTGACTCGTGGAACTTTAACTGAAGATTGAAATAATAATGAATTTGTCTCATAAAGTCTTTTTATTTTCTGAAATATTATTGATTGAATTGTTTCAAAATAGATGAACATTTGTATATAAAGAAAGCACATGAAATTGGCGAAATAATTTCAAATTTTATATTCAAATCCATCCTTTTTTTTCTTAAAAAAATATATATGTTGTTGATTATACATAAATTTCCGTTTCAATGATATGAAATAATCAGCGTCTTCGTTATTGGTGTATAATGAACGTGGTCCAATCTGTTACATAGTTAATAGTGAAAAACGTCAAAAATCGACGTTTTACGTCCTATAGATGACGTTCCGCTTATTTTGAGGTTCTTTGGTATTTTTTCAACTAGAACGAAACTTTGAATGATGAATACCGTAAATTTACGAAACCCTGTTATTTATATAGAAATGTTGTGTTTAACATTGACTATGCGAAAATAGTAGCCAGGGTGAGACACAATAGTGCACGACCCGAAGGGGAGTGCACTATTGTCTCTCACCCTGGCTACTATTTTCCATAGTCAATGTTAAACACAAAATTAATATCATTATTATACTGACTGTTTTTTATTTCAAATAGTGCTATAGTAATTGTGTATTTCTATGTAAAAAAAATGCTTTAAAGTATGAAAAGAAGCCCTTTATGTAACTCTGTCTATATATATGCTGTCTTAAAAAAAGTTGATTTGTCTACTTAACTGTTAGAAAGAGTTACAAATAAATAGATTCAAAAGTATGTGTTTTGAGGTGAAATGATTGATTTTAACTCTTTCTGAATATAAATCATTATTGACTAGTTAAACAAGTAGAATTCTGCTTAAGCTGGTGCTAGAGGTTGTCTTAAACTTGTTACGAGGTACCTATATTTTGCTCAATTTTGAAGGCATGAACTCATGTTGACTTCAAGATGAAAAAGTACCTAAAAGACATCGTGTCATAACTTTGATTGCCCGGTATTATTTTGGATATTGTCTAAACAAGGTTTACTCCATACCCCTTCCATTTCATTCTCATTAACATTTTCCATAGTACTTAAGTAATAACTTACAAAAAAACAGTGATGTGATCATAACTATTTATCTGTAACAAATGACTTATAAAATATTCAAACAATTTTGGCTTCAACGGCAGTAACCAGAAGTAAACAAAGAACAAAACGTTCTAATAGAAACTACAGTATTTTAAAGTCTCTTAAAATGTCAGAAAAATTAAAAATGATATCTACTTTTTTCCCCTTATTGTTCAATTGTTATAGTTGATTAATTGTCAGGCTAATAAATCCAACCCACTTGTCTGTCAAAGCAACTAAGCTCCGCCTTTGCACGTGAAATTGAAAATGATTGACGTGAAAATCAATAGTCTGTTGCAACAGCACTTGGTATACTATTTTCGCATAGTGCAGTTAACGCTATATATTTCTTTCAAAAACTCTGCAAAAACTATGCAAAAATAGAGCAATTTTACTATAGAAGGACATTCTTACAGGAAGTATAATAATGTTGTATATCATTAAAACGAAAATTAATGTTTCAACATATATATTTTTTAAGAAAAATTAATGGATTTGAAATTGGAGATTTGATGATTTTAAGATAACTTTATGAACATTTTTCGCCGATTTTATGTGCTTTTCTATGCTCACCTATTTTGAAATAATTCAGTCAGTAATAATTCAGAAAATAAAAGAGATAAGTGCATTTTTTTTTCGATTTTCATTTATAGGTCCATGTTGAATGCAAAATTTTACCAAAATCTGTAACATAACACATTTACTGTAACTTGAACAGAAATGGTTTTACTGAACCTTAATTTTTACATTTTTACATTTCAAATTTACAGCAGTTTTATACTTACAATAAAAAACTTTTTTTTACTTTTTGATATCAGCGTCCACTGTGAATAAAAATAAAATATTATTATTTAAATCAGGCGAGAATATATTTTGATTTTATCGTTTGCATGTAAGGAATATGTGTATATTTTACATTCTCATGGTAATCAGAGAAAAATATGTAAATTGGGAACACATTTATATAGCAGACATTAACCAAATACGTTTTTTTTTAACTTTAAAGAAATATTCAAATAATTAATGGCTACCACAAAATCTTGGTTTTCTATTTAAAATATTGTTTCTTATTGTACATCGTAGTTACTTTTTGCAATTATGTTTAGCTAATTCCCCTTGCAGTCACATTTCCATAATTCCATCTCATATCTAAGAAGAAACACTCTTCAATACATATGCACACACACAGTTATTGTTGAAAGTGTGTTCGACCATTTGCTTGAAACAGGATATTAGGTCTTTATTTATTTGTAATGTTGGTAACTGTCAGTCTGGTTCTTTATTAACGTCTCCTCGGAGACGTTATTAAGAATTTCAAACGATGGACAATCTGCGGGCTGAATGCTTCTTACTACCTGATTGGAAGATAGTACTGAGACGTGAATAATTAAAGTTCGTTGATTGGTTGGGACAATCCAAACCTAGTAAATGTCTTTCAATCCCGTAGAGTATCGGATTTGTACTCTCTATTTTAGCAATTAGATTTTGCCTAGTCACAAATCATGCATGTCGATACACAGGTAAACTTCATCTATAAATAGCCGAATCTCCTGATCAATGTGTTGTCAACACGCACATGATTGTTTCACATTCAATCCATGAATCCAGTCATTCACTGTTACGTACATTTTATACATGAAAACTGAGACTACTATAACTAATACAACACTACATTAGCAAAGCATTTTACGAAAATTCAAATATGACGGACATGAACCAACGGCAACCACTGAATTACAGGCTCCTGACTTGAGACAGGCACATTAACACGGCCGTCACTCGGCTAACCGAGAGATTGGTCGGTTAATCTATATTGAGTATGCGGCTATATCGGCGGTTGGTCTGTTAATTGGGTTGACTAAAGTCTGTTAATCAGGTGTTATCGAGAAAATACTTGCAAGTCCAGTATGTTTCATTGTATAACTTTTTAAATATATTTTTTATCATAAAAATTATTCATGTCTGACAAAACAATTCAATGTACTGAATCCAGTGGTGTAATTATTTTTTTTCTAGCTTCGATAAACAATCAATAAAATGAAAAGGCGGGTTACTCATCAATAAATTTATACACATTTTACACACACAAAATGTACACAAAATGACAACTTGGCTGAATTTACTTGCATGCAATATTTTGAACATCGAAAAAAGACAGGCATTATGTTTGTTAACCATATTAATATCATTGCGTGAAAAATCTACACGAAAATCTGTATTTTGGTGATATTAATCAATTTTTATTAAAAACCTGGTCTGTTAATGGGTCGGATGTATAAAACCCGGTCTGTTAAGAGTTATGAATGGCAATGAAAATATAATTTGATTGCTTTATGGGGAGTTATCGGATCAAATGGGTAGGCTCAATACAAGTGGCTAAAATATACGGAAACAACACATGAACAATGAAACATAAATTTAGACAATGGAAATTGGAAATTGATAAAAATGGTTTCAAAAAGTGTAATACTAAAGTAATATTAATTTCATTCAAGAATGGTCGCATATATCATGTGAATCAGTTTCGTTGTTATGAATGACACCAATTTGTCATCTACATTGGTAACCAGTATATACATCATTTTTATAGTTCGTTCTTATGTTGTACTGTTATACCACTGTCCCAGGTTAGGGGAGGGTTGGGATCCCGCTAACATGTTTAACCCCGCCACATTATGTATGTATGTGCCTGTCCCAAGTCAGGAGCCTGTAAATCAGTGGTTGCCGTTTGTTTATGTGTTAAATATTTGTTTTTCGTTCATTTTTTTTTTTTAATAAGTCCGTTAGTTTTCTCGTTTGAATTGTTTTACATTGTCATTTCGGGGCCTTTTATAGCTGACTATGCGGTATGGGATTTGCTCATTGTTGAAGGCCGTACGGTGACCTATAGTTGTTAATTTCTGTGTCATTTTGGTCTCTTGTGGAGAGTTGTCTCATTGGCAACCATACCACATCTGCTTTTTTATATCAGAGATAAACGTCGTAATGTAACTAAACATCAGTAAGTAAAATATATTGGGATGCTAAAATATAAAGAATAGAGAAAGAATAATGAGAAAAATAAATAAAATGTAGAGAAAAGTGACATAACAATTTAAAGAATACAGAAATAAACAACACTCCCAATCCGGACCCTCATGGTATACACGAGAATCTGGATGGAGACGCAGAATATAGAATAATAGATAAGGACAATAGAGAGTGATGCATTGCTAAAAAAGAGAGAAAAATAACAATTGTTTAAGACATGAAACACCCCTTTTTACTATTTAAACCCTATAAGATGATTGTTAAAACAATTTTGGCATTTATTCCACATCTCCTAATTTTTAAATTAATAGTATAGACAACGATATCTATATAGATGCTTTGCAATTTTTTTACTGTATATCACTTTATGTTATTTTAGACTGGAGTCCGATAAACCTTTGGCCTCCTGTCAACCGCTGAATCTGATAGCTCAGTAAATATTTTAAAGTGCAAACAAAACAAAATTTCAGGGGGAGGGGGTGGTTGAAACAGTAACGGATTGTGATGTACTCAAATTGGTGACAAATGCTAGAATTTTACAAGCGCACAACTGCAGTTCTCCTCTGCACTTATGTAGAAAGGAACTAAACGGAATAAAATGGATTAAAACTTAAGATAATCAAATGTAGCTGCATTCGCTTCTTTCCATTTACTTCTTTAGAATGTTTTGTAAACAACATATGATTAAGTAATAGAACAAAAGAACCAATTGGATAATGCTGACGAATTAGGGTTTAACGTCCAGTGGCAAATATCATGTCCATATGAGAACGACAACATGTTATATGTACCCGGTGTTGTATAAGACAGACACTTTCAGTCGGATTTTTGAACGTGCTTCTTTGAACAGACACAAAAATCAAGGCTGATTGAAAACGTTAATAATAAATTCATGCATATTCCAGCCGCCAATCCATATCACGCTATATTGCAGTGACACACCTTTCAATAAAATGCAAAGAAAGTCAAAATAAAAATGCTCTTACACAAGGATACTGTTGCACCGTATTGTCATTTTTTTTACTCAAGTACATCTCATTCTTAACTTTTTTAATGGGAAATTATAAAGGTAGCAAAACTATTGTCGTGGCTGAATAACTCTTAACTGACATAATTTTAATTGTCCAACCCATTAACACACTTTATTCCCCTAATAGTCACTAAAACGTGGTATTACTCACGTTATATTACAATTATGAAATATTTACTAATGTCAATTTATTTTTTAGAACCAAAGTACTATTTTGTGTCCTTTAAATGATATCTAAAATTGTTTGTTTCGCCTTTTATTAAAACAATTGCTATGCGTATAAGCATAAATACCACATACTTGCGCGACGCCTTTTAGTTTTACTGAAGTTTGCGCAGACTATGAAATGTTTTTACAGGTGGAAAATGTTCTATGACAGATATCATTTTGTCAGACACTTTTCTTTTTTTTATTTGGTTCTTATAATATGCCAAAAATCTGTATATTTAACAGAGTTGAACATTTAAATTGTGCGTTTTACTCTTAACAGACCTATAACCGACCCGATTAACCGACCAACCGCCCATATAGCCGCATACTCAATATAGATTAACCGACCAATCTCTCGGTTAGCCGAGTAACGGCCGTGATTAAGAATGTGACAATATTAAATATTTTTAGGCGCTCATCACCACCACTAGCATGGGACATTGGTGTAACGACATAACATAAAAACAAACTTAAAACATAATTTGAAAATAGGTCATTTCGGTTAAATCAGGCTGACTGTACATGAAATATTTGCCGTTGACAAGCAGTTGTGAATCGAAGTTGAATTTACAGAAAGGTGACATCAACATATGCTATCATATTTAACATTCTTGTTTAGATCTGACATTGCTACGTATTTATACATTCCACATTATTTTTGGCTTCTCAGAATTTTCACATGGTAAACTGTCAGCAGTTACCCAACGAAAAATGTTATAGGGAACCTATTTATAAAGCATCATGCCGACAATGATTTAACATGTTTTGTCACCCGACATTGAACAAGCACATTTATATTTGCTGTGGCTAAAAAAACTAAAGCATATCACAACTCTTTTCATCTGAGTGGCTCAATTATTTGGGTTACAAAAAGCATAGCGATATAACTAAAACATGCGACACTTTAACAATAGACAATATTAAAATTTTCAAAAACTTTATGGCTCTGTATTGACAAAATTCATTGTCTGGGTTTTTGAAAGAGGGCACATATTTCTGGTGTTGAAAAAATTTTATCGTAATTTACACTAATGTGGTTCTATTTATGTTAACATAGAGATAATTTGTTAGATAATTTGATTATTTAGTCATGTAATTTGGAAGCTTCTTCGTTCTGATTTACATGCACTTGCGGTTGATGCTTCTTTTGGAGTTTTTGTAGTCTTTGCATCAGGGACGTAGTCATCCTCAGATTCAATATCTGATGCAGTATATTCACCAAGTAAAAGATCAAGATTGAGATCACTATCATCACGGTAGGTATAGTGTCCGGCTAGAATCGTGGTTTTTCGAGTGATTTGATCGGGTTTCTTCGAGTGTGACCACTTTTTTTCGAGTGAATATGATCAAAAATGTAAACAAACAGACTTTCTTTCTGACAAGACGTGACATAGAAGCTTTAGTTTATTATACAAGGATATACAAGGTGTGTTAGTATTTGAGATAAAAAGATATTATCAATCCGACATTATTTTTCGTTAAAAAAAGTTGAATTTAGCCTTACAATGCTTTTACTCCAAAAAAAAACAGAATAAAGCCATTTTAATACACATT